TTCTTGCCCGAAGGTCTCTTTTCCCTTCAGTCGGGGAAACGAAGGTGTGCCTGTTCTGAAAACGAGGCTCTGCTGTGCGGGCCCCTCCGCCATTAAGCGACTGAGGTTCTCCCCCTTTTCCCGCCGCCAATCTCCCCATGCCACCAGGGACTAAAAGTTGCTTCTCTTCTCCGCCCCCAGCTCAAAGAGGGGGGCAGAGAGAGGAGGTGACCCACAGTGGCGTCCCTCGGTCTTCACCCGCCCCTCGCGTGGCGCTGCTTTCCAGCGTTACCGCGAACTGAAAAAGCGAGCGGGGAACGGGCGCCCGGCAGAGATTTGCCGGCCGTAAGTCCAAGTCCAAGCATCCCCGCCGCCAGTACTAAAGAAGCTGCCATCCTCCCGCTGCAAATACATACCGATCCCAAAGTCTCCGCAAGAAATTTGCGCCCCTGCCGTCCTTTTGGCTGCTCCTAATTCTATTCGAAGAGACTCCTTCCGCCTGCCCTGCTGCCCCGCGCCAGTTTCGCCAGTGCGAGTAACTGCTACTCTCGCATCCCTCTGCCCTCAGACTTTTCCTGACAGCGCCCCTTTTCTCTGCCGTATCGTCTGTTTTTCAAACTCGAGACCAAAAACGCCTCCATCAGGACTGCTGCCCTCCTTGATGCTGGGAGAGATTCTACTCAGCTCTGCATTCAGGCTGCGGGATGGTGCCCTCTACAATTTGGGTCCCCGGCGGGCCAAATCCTGCCCTTTCTGAACCCCGCAGTCCCTTGAGTCACGGCCCCTCCAGTTCGGGCGGGGACCCCCCTGAAAACTGCTCACCGGCTCCGTGCTGCTGCAGCCGACCACGTGAGGGCGTCCAGTGTGTTAGTTACAACAAATTAACCCAGGGCTAGTGCGCCCCCCGAGGATCGTCAGCGCCCCCCGACTGGACAGAGACACGCGGCCCCCGCTTTCCTATCCGAGCCATGCGCTCCCTGAGAGCGGGGGCTCTTCCTGGGATGTCTAGAGCCCTCGATATAAGGCACCCCTATCCACTGTCTTTCCCCAGTATAGGGTGCGCCCTTAAAATCGACTCTGAAGAGCCTTTCCCACGTCCGGAAAACTGTGATACCCAGGCAGCTCGATCAGGCACCGTCGGGAGCAGCAGATGCCAACCGCATCTTGCCCCTACGGCGCCGGACGCGCGCAAGAGACCTCGGCGAAGGGGCCACAAAAAGCACAATTTAGAGCTTGCCTTCTCGCTCCCTGTTGTTGTTCTCAACATGGTCCGCTCCTGGCGCATATAAGGAGCTGTGGAGAAGCCCGCCCAGGCAGATTGCTTTTCTCAGGCGACACGGAGGGTAGCTGCGCTTGGTCGCTGTGCTTCTTTCTTGCCTCCGCTACCCCGCGACCGAGAGCATCTCAGCGAAAAACAAGCTCTGAGGGCCAGCCAGGCGCTCGCTCCCAGCACTTTTAGAGTGAAAGCCGGTGCGCTTTTCCAGTATGTCTGTGGAACTGGAAGAAGCTGACCTGCCGCTGACCGAGGCGGAAGAGGCGCCTCTGGCTCCAGAAAAGAAAGGGGCGGCCAAGAAAGCCAAAGGTGGCGTGTCGGCGCTCTCCCCTTCCAAGAAGAAGAAAAACAACAAGAAAAAGAACCAGCCTGGCAAGTACAGCCAGCTGGTGGTGGAATCCATCCGCAAACTGGGCGAGCGAAATGGCTCCTCGCTGGCCAAAATCTACAACGAAGCCAAGAAAGTGGCTTGGTTCGACCAGCAAAACGGGCGGACCTATCTCAAATACTCCATCAAGGCGCTGGTGCAAAACGACACTTTGCTCCAAGTGAAAGGCACCGGCGCCAACGGCTCCTTCAAGCTCAACAGGAAAAAGCTCGAGGGGGGAAGCGAGGGGGGCGCCGGCGGCGGCGGCGGCTCCCACGCAAAATCCCACAAGAAGGCGGTCGCGGCGTCCACCTCGCGGAAGGTCGAGAAGAAACCCGTCGCCAAGAGCAAAAAGCTGGAGAAGAAATCGCACAAGAAAGGCGCCGGCGGCGGGACCGCCAAGAAAGACAAGGTGAAAGCGAAGAAAGCCCCCAAGAAAAGCGCCGCTTCCCCCAGCGCCAAGAAGGTGAAAAAATCGGCGAAGCCCAAGGCTCTCAAGAGCAGGAAATGAGACTGCCCCCAAACTTGGAGGGAAGATGGCAGCTTCCGTTGTCCTTCGACCCAAGACTTTTGGGCCCCAGGACGCTGACTTTAGCTCGAAGCACAGAGCCAGCTTTGATTTTTGTCTCTTTGGCCTCATTTCTGCATCATTTCCTCCCCCGGAAGGCGGGTGTGTGTAAAATAGCACTTCTTTCCTCCACAGACCCCATCAGGATGATTGGGGCATTTTGGATCGTGGGAAGGTTGTACGTTCACCCCACACCCTTTCCTTTTTATTGGAATATTGTGCCATTGAGGCTTGCTTTTCTGCTTTTGTGTTCTGCAAAAGTAGCGTGATATCGTTGTAAATACTCCCCCACCCATAAATCTGGGTGGGGTTCGGCCCCCCTTGTCATCCGCCCCCAGGCACTTCGGGGGAAGGGGGCGTCCTCGGTGGATCCCTAAACTCTGAACTGCCAGCCGCCTCTCTAATGGCCGGGATGCCATGGCAACAGCCTGTTGGTTTCATAGGCGTCCGCGCCGCTCCTGGGCCTGAAGTGCTGCCGGCGCTGCATGCGGGGTAGGGGGCGGCGGTCGCGTGGGACCAAGTGACCAGCGGAGTGGGCTGATTTTACCTCGAAGACTTGCGCAATCACTGCAGGTTTGAAATACGTATCTAGCTGAATCTGGGGGTGGGGAGGGGGGCAGTGCAGTTCTCCTTCGCCTACAAGATTTCGTATCGTCCTTTTCAGGTCTCGTCTTCAAATGCCTTTTTTTATTTCCTTGTGTTTTTGTTCAATAAATCGTTTAAAACATTTTCTCACGTTCTGCTTCCTCGATGTTTTAATATTCAAAATCGAAACGAGATAGTCGATTATATTTCTGGGAAGATGGGATACAGGGGCGTTGGAATCGAGCATAAGATCCCGAAATCATATCCTGAGGAATTGGGGTTTCAAGGTGGACGTGATCGAGGGGCGCGGCGCAGACGACCTGCCCGAACGAGAGGGGAATCGGGCTGCTTCGACGAAGTTGGCGCCCTCCCTCTATGAATGCAACTGAGCGTGGGCGTGGCTGATTGCTTCCCCTCCGCCTAATCCGCGCTTTTGGCAAAGGTGCGGTCCCCGCTCCTGTTTCTTCCCCTGGGGTCTCTCCTTGCTACAGATCGTACATTCTGGGGTAGCCTCGTATGGGGCGCAGCGGAGCCGCACGGGACCGAAAGGACGAAAAAGGTGAAGCGGCGCCTCTGAGCAACTCCAGGAGCATCACCCCCTCTCCCCCTCCCACGCCCATCCCGAGGCGGACGAATCCGGACATTTTACGAAGCCAATAGAGGCATCCGGAGATTTTACGAAGCCCCGCCCCGTCGGCGATCCTCCCATTCCCAGCCTCTGAGAACGGGTCATCTGGCGAGGGCGGTCTGCTGATTGGGCAGTGCGAGAAGAGCGATTACTGGGCGGAAGTAGCCTCATCTGACGGAAGGGTCCAGATTCGCAGATTCTGGGTGGGAGGGGGAGAGACTCAAGGCGGTGCGCTGTCTACGTTCGCCCTCCTCTCCTGTTTCTCTCGCAGCGCTCTGTGGTCCCTCATTGCCAAGACGCGATCTGATCCATCGCCTTGAAATTGCAGGCTTTCATATTTTAGAAAGGCTTTATCGGGCAGGGGCTCCTAAACTTTTTGCTATCACACCTCCCTTTAGTGTGCAATCTTAATGTACGCAGCTCCCTTAAAAATCCAAACACCGAAATGAACACAATTAAACAATGAAAACAATACAACGAAATTTTGGGAAACGTGGATTTATTGTGACAATGTAACTAAAAGGTTCTTCGCACCTCCCCTGAACTCTGTCTGCACCTCCCCGAGGGAGGCACACCTCACGGTTTGGGCTGCTCTAGGGTAACGCTCTCAAAACCGGTATAATGCGGCTGCTGCTGGTGGTAACTAGTCGCTCTTCCCGCCCCTCCGATCACAGCGGATCACTTTTTAGCGGCGTGTGTTGTGCGTGTATAGGAAAGGAACCCCAAACTGTTTGTAACAAAATTGGCTCTGAATTTCCTCCTTCCTGTCTCTCCCATATCAAAAGCCCCTTTTCTAATTCAGTATAAACTGTAGAGGTCAGGCTGAATGCAAAAACCAGGGTGCTGAGGCAAGACATACTGTTCGCATCTAACAAATACCGGTGAAGGACATGTATTATATTCCTTGTAACTAAGTATCTCCTAAATAATCTAATGAATTGATTCCATTCTGGGAAATCTGGGTAGATAGAAATCAGCTTTTGCTTTCAAGAAGAGCCTCTCCCACATAATCCCATAGATATGATGGGAAAATTGGTAAAAACCAGACTGCACCTTTATAATACCAGGAAAGATCATTAGAAAAGTGGGCTAGGCATTAGATAATCTTGAATGTGCTGACCAAGAGCTGGAACATCAGATAGTGTTGTCTTTGGGAAAAGCAGCAGTATCCCAGAAGAGTCTGGCTTTCACTTTCTGTCTTCATTCTGTAAAACTGGGGATAACTGCTCAGAGAGGGAGCAAGAAAATGTAAAGGATCAAGAAAACAATAAGGACCTGCTATAAACATCCACACAGAAGGTCCCAAAACTCTCTTTCCAACTATCTTTTCTGCAACGACCTGTTCTGAAACTCAAGACCTGATTTTAAAAAGGAGTAACTAGTTTAATCAAGGTGACTGTATTGGTTTTGCTTGGAATTGTAGTCTTCCTCAATAAGCTTTTTTCCCCATTTATGACTTGGCTACATTTGTTTTATCCATTAAAACCTTCCCAGTCTGCAAGACTACATCATTACATAGTTAATCCTTGGGGTCTGAGATTGGCACAGGGGCTGTTGAGCACTGTATTTCTGGGCTCTGGGCAGAAAGATTGAAAGCACCAGAGATGCTTACAGGTGTAGCAAGGGGGGCAAATTACACCATTGCATAATTTGCACAATATAATGATACATGTGTTACCCAGGGGTAAAAGTGGCAGCAGGCAAAGCCAGAAAAAACTTACATAAGAAAGAGTTGCCTATTGCCCCCTAGGGCTTACTCTTGGCAAGATGATGGCACTCCTCTTCCCACTACCCCTTCTGTTTATAGAAGTCAAACAGAACTTAAATCTTACTCTCATTCAACTGGCAAGGAGAAAGCATTCTCCACCCTACTTCAGGGGAATAGGCTACCTTAGATGGAAACACAGGGTCACATATGGTTAACCATTATTCTGCCCTCATCATCTGCACCTGATGCTGCTCCATTATTTTACCAAAGGGAAGAACCAGTCTCAAGTCTGAAAAGTACTCATCCCAACAACAAATTAGTTTTGACCACTACAAGAGGAGGGAGGTAGTAGAGAAAAGAACAATTGTTACCCATCAGTAGAGGTTTCTATGGCTCATGAAAACACAGCAGCTGCTACAATCTTATTCTGATAATGGTAAATTGTAAGAACAAAGTAAACTTTAATACCCAGACTGGGGTATTGTTGGTCTACAATCAGAGATGTTAATAATATAGCTTGTTTTAGGGACATGGTATTCACAATTCTGGCACAGATGAAGACAGGTCATGGAAGTAGTGCATATCTATGGGAAATTAGATGGTAAGAAACTCAACATCATATCCAGTTTAAGTAAGGTCACAGAACCAAGGGCTTTCTTAAAGCAAGTAGAAGCCACAAGGGGGGGGGAGGGAGTAAGAGTAAAGCTCCATAGAATTAGCATTTCCACCATTTTCAAGATGCTTTACAGCAGTTTTAAACCTCATATAACAGCAGCAGATAAAGCTAAGTGTAAGTAGTATCTAGGTAGAAAAAACCCACCCTATTTTATCTACTTGCATACCTAAACACTGTTAATAAAGTGATCTAATACTTTTGCATGTCAACACACAAGTCAGCTTCAGTTTTTCAAATAACAAAATACAAATTTTCCAGTTAATTTGTTGGTAGAGGGGTCTGCTCCTAACCACAATGGTACCAAAAATGACAAAACACAAGTTGTGGCATCATAATGCAAGCTCTGTCCTTTCATACTTGTGCCATGTTGCACACAAATATGTAAGGGACAGAGGTTATGACTCAATGCATGTTTTGTCATTTGCCCCGCTCCACCCACAGATGCCTAAGTTTGTTGGTCATGTAACAAAACTGCTAACAAAGAAATGACTGCAATAAAAACAAAGGCAAGAACAGAAAAAAGGAGAGAATAGTACAACACACCCCATCTCTGTAATTTTAGTCTACATGGTAAAAACAACAAAAAAGCAGTATATAACACAAACTATTTTGAAGGCAACATTTTGGAGTGGAGGAAATTGAGTTGTTCCACCAGTTTTGCCCAATCTAATTATTTTAATCAGAAATTTTAAAAAATCAATGAAAGCAATGTAAGAAATTGTAATAATTACCTTATATGGAAACATCCCACTACTATAGACCTAACTGGTGAGACTTCTGTTAAACCTCCATAGCTTTCTACAGATTGGACAGAATATCTTTTAAATGGAAGTCCGTGGTTCTTGTTAGGATATTGTTAAGTTTATTTATCTGCATTTATTTAAATTCTTTGGGCATCAGTTATTCACTAAGAGTCAATGGATTGGATCCATTTATGTTGTTCTGCCAATGGAAAGAACATTTCTGGCAATCCAAATTTCTTTGCAGCAACTTGTATCTTGGGTTGGATGATCCTCTGGAATGGACTGGGGACCAAACTAGGAGAAATACCTGCAGTCAGAGAGTGAAGCTTGGACATGTAACAGTGAGTTTAACCTTTTGAAGAGAGTTATCTCCCAAAACACATTTGAGTCTTCGAAGCAGCTACTTCCAGTCACAAATGGGAATTGTTATAGTCATTCACTTCTTCTTTAGAGAAAGGAGGGCTATAATACTGATTTTATTAGTAATAGCAATTTGCAGCCCCTTACACTCATTTACTCTTATCACAGGCAGGAAGCTTCAGACAGTGACAAAATAATTTAATCCTATTTAAAATAAAAATGATATAGAATGCACAGCCACACAGTATTGATGTTTGAGCTTGGTCAGTAGTAGAAGTCTTAGATAATTAACTTACTCCTCATTTTAAGGGAATTGTGTTCAAGTCTACCTCACTATTTTCACTATTAAAAAGATATACTTAAGGAATACACAATCTCACATTGAAAGCTAAGCACAACACTTAGAATGGCACCCCTTAAAAGCAGTATAGGCATCATTAAATTGAACACAGATGTCCCTTAACCACTTGCCCCTTGTTCAGAAGTATTTCATATGGTATAAAGCAAATACAGAATAAGAATTAGGCCTGCAGACAAAGTATGTGCATTGTTATAGCAAAAATTAAGTCACAAAAGGCTTTTTCAGTCTGCCATCTTTTAATCCCTGACGTCTGCTTTGTGTCTTTTTGGGGAGTTGGGGTTAGAGGAAGGAAAACAAGAGGGCCAAAGCAACAGTAGGAGCATTACTTCTGAACATCTGCAAAGTAGAATTTTACATGCCCACATGTGTGACGCATAAACATTCTGCACTATAGTATTAGCACCCATCTTTGCAATTAAGGCATGCCTTCTAATGTTAGTTTTGACTATTCATGTAAACAAGCCCCACATGTTAATATACAATTAAGTAAAACAGATCAAAAGGCCATATTGTTAGGTAGGGCTCATCACAACTAGAGATAACAGGTTCCATTTGAGTCAGACTTTGAAAATATTTATAAGGGCCCTATGTACATTGGTTGGCCCTCCAGCAGGAGACACACAAGACTTGTTCCATTTTACTTCAAACTTTTTTCTAACTGAATATGCTTCCCTTTGGCTTCATCCTCTAATCATAGCATACTTAATGGCAACCAAGCAGACTGGTGCCATAAAAGCTTACAGAACTGTAACACCAATCAGGAATTCAGCATGTATAGGAGTTGACAGGAAAACCTTGATGATTCAAATGCTTAAAGTGAGTAGGGGGCCTTTGCCTGCATGTACTTCTATTAACACTGAAATCCTGATATTAAGGTACTACTCCTGAAGAGTTGAAAAAGAGGGAGTGAACTAAGTCAGAGGAAAACAGGATTGATTCACGGATCAGATAAATGCAAAAATGGCTTTCATGCTTACAGATTATTAAATGACCATTCACCAAAATGCATTTCAAAACAATGAAAACACAGAATGTCAAGATGCTCATCTGCATTATGGGTGAACCATCTTTTAGTCATCATGATCTGTACTTATGGGGTGGAGGGGCACAATGAATTTTCAAATGCCCTCTGTTTGGGGAGATGAATAACAATAATAAAAAAACTAGTCTACTTGCAGATTTACTCTACAGATTTCACATAGCCTGTTTCAAAAGTTTCAGCAATCACATTTGGAGGAGCCTCCAGAACCTAAAGAAAGAGGTTCAGAGCCATTAGCTGCCCATCCATCTTCCACACTTTTTGTACCTCAGATGGAAAGAATGAGCTGGGAACCGAAGTTAAGGGACTTGCACTCCAGACAAGGTGATTAAACAAATTTCTGCTTTTCATCTTTCCTTTCTCCCAACAATATTTCTAGCCATTTCTTTTTCTAAGAACCAAAGAATCCCAAGGAGATAAATAAATGACATGTTGTTGAGAAACAATTTGATATGTACTCAAGACTGAATCAGTTTAATATTTGTTTCGCACTTTCCAGTATCACAACTTTTGCATTTTCTAATACAAAGCAATAGTTGACAAAACACAAAATACTGATTTTGAAAATAATTTTTAAAAGACAGAAAAACACAAATAAAGGAACTCTTGTTTTCCACTTTTCAGCCATTATTTGCATTTAAAGGATCCCTTCCCTTCAGTGATGCAATCAGTGTTCATTCTCACAGAAAGCAAGAGCCTGCCTGGTCCGATGCCAGAAGAATGAGATAGCTATTTAAATCCAAGAGGTCTTTTTTCCCTGGGTCTGTAATGGGAGACAGGCAAGACAAACAGACATGGATGGATAGAGGTTCTATTTCTTGAGCATCACTAATGAGACTGTACACTCTACCAGCAACTGACTGAACAAACCATTTTCTTTATCCCGTTATTAAAGCATCCCAACCTCCACTGGTCTAGATGTCCTTAGCTGAATCCAGAGCAAGACAATAGTTCATCCACAGATTTACATCCCACATGATGATTTGAACACATGCTATTAACTGCACACACACAGCTGACCATATATAGGATTACAGGTTCTACTTGCTCAATAGTCTAGAGACTGCTGCATGCACATGGCTCTATAAACTTTTCACCTAAGCAAGCAAGATTTGGCTCTGGTACCACAGCTACTAGGCATCACAGGACAGGCTAGGCCAACTTCCATGCTCATACATTATCCAAACACCTATTTAGTAAACCACCAACACTAACTAGATATTTTACTCTTGTATAAATTATTCTTTTTCCTAAAAAAACCCAACCTCCAAACATTAATCTACTGAGGATTACAATTAGATGGATACCATACTTGCACTCTATTTTAAGCACTAGAAGCAAAATTCTGAACAAAAAAAAAATACTGTGTAAAGATTAAAGTGCAAACTAGGGTACAAATGCTAGACTTCAATCATTACAGGTGACATTACAAGAGAATTCATAATGGAGGGAGAAAATACAACAAAACTGCTTACTGTTTCAAGGAAACAACACATATCATTGAGGCTGAAAACCACAAAAGCAGTCACACTAAAATACTTCGATTTAAGCCATTTTAGTTCTGGGTGACATCAAAAGGACAAAAATAGACCTAAATTCAAAGGACCCTTGCTTAAAATGGGTTTCCAGATAAACTGTTAAGCACATTCAGATCTGAATGCACCACATTAAAAGTAGAGATAAACAGCACCTCCCTTCCCCATTCCTCCCTCCCCTCCCTTGTTTGAAAGAGAATCTTCCTTGCGGGTGGCACTCCTATTCCACTTTTGCCTCTGGAACATCTTAGGTGTAACAAGAACTGCTTGAGGGGAAGACCATAAGACAAAGATGTGTCACATACTCAGTCAAGGTTATTTACTAGGTAAGATTTTGTTGCAACAACAAAAATCAAAACTCAACAAAGAAACAGGAATGGCCAGCACAATGACACAATAGCTCATCATAAAGCAAACACAAGGGAAAAGTTAACATATGAAACCATTCCTTTCTCAGCAAAAGAAGTTCTTTTCACATTTAGAATTTCCGGGCCACTTCTTTCCCTCCCATGTTTTTTTTTAATCCTTAAATTCATGATCACATTTAATGGGGATGTGCAGCAACATCAGGGAGATTAATCCATTACCATCTCCAGCTCTGGGACAGAGCAGTTTTAAGAGAATAGGTTGAGTATTGGTGCAAACAAGAAAGCAACGTAGAGGCCAACCCTTCCCTCCTCTGTATACTCTCACCTTTTAGGTACAGAAGGGGATAAAAAAAAAAATCAGCATTGTCACACACTGCGGCCTATTGTCTAACCAGTTTCCTTCCTTCCCAATGTTGGCCTGTGCTGCTTCATGACTTTCCCACCTTCATGACTCCCATTTTTTCAGTTCTCCAAAAATAAATAAAAATGCAGCGATCAGTCCAGGTTTAAAAAAAAAAAAAAAAAAGCCTAATCCCTTTTCCCTCTCCTCTTCTCCAGAGGAATTGAAGAGTGATTTAAGGGAGCAAAATAAAGGGGACCCCCCCCCCATCGCTGACGCTATGGATCACACAGCTCCAAGGCAATGGATGTTGTTAGGCTCAACCGTCTCAGGGAAAGGGGCGGAGACAAAAAATCTATTTGCGGGGCGCTAGGTGGCGGCCAGGCCCGACGCACGTGCCCTTTCTGTGACACGAAAAATGGTGATGACTGCTCTTCCCACATCGGTCCCTAGAACTGAAAACGGGCAGGGACGAGCGCGGCGGGCTCAGCGCTCGGCCGCGTCAGGCGAGAAAGCGCACGAGAAGCCCAGCGGTTGTAGCACCAGCAGCGCGGAGGCGGGAGGCGGGAAGAGGGCCGGCATCAGCGCTAGCGAGGAAAGGGACGGCTCAGCGCCGGCCGCGCCAGGGCAGACGATGCGGTAAACAAATCTGCCCGGCACTGGCTGCGCCAAGTGACGCGGAAGAAAGGAGACAATGTCCGGTGTCCGCTGCACCAGATCCTGTGGGTGGGGCGCAAGGAAATGCATGGCCGCGCGCTTTCCTTTAGCCAGGCAGCCGGCCTCATTTCTTGGAGCTCTGGGTCTTCTTGGGCAGCAGCACGGCCTGGATATTGGGCAGAACCCCACCCTGGGCGATGGTCACCCCACCCAGCAGCTTGTTCAGCTCCTCGTCGTTGCGAATGGCCAGCTGCAGGTGCCGCGGGATGATCCGGGTCTTTTTGTTGTCCCGCGCAGCGTTGCCGGCCAGTTCCAGGATCTCAGCCGAGAGGTACTCGAGCACAGCGGCTAAATAGACAGGCGCTCCGGCGCCCACACGCTCCGCGTAGTTGCCTTTCCGCAGCAGCCGATGCACTCGCCCGACTGGGAACTGGAGGCCGGCTCGAGAGGAGCGAGATTTCGCTTTGGCTCTGGCTTTTCCTCCGGATTTACCTCGGCCGGACATAACGAGGCGAGGCTGGGCGCTCGCGAAGAGCTAGGCGCCGAGACCCGAGACCCGCTTGCAAAGCAGGCAGGCTGAAGCGGCCTCGTCTGGATAACGGGAAGAAAATAACACCAGCGTAAGCAGAGCGGCGAGCGGAAGGACGCCGACGCCGCGCATTCTACACTCCTCCCACCCGTGGCCGCAACCCGATCTAATGACCCGACCCACGAGCTCCCATTAGCTCTCCCCGGGACCCCCCCTTACCGTTGGCCACCCTCCACAGGGTCGCCGAGTCCCCGCAGCTGCAATGACAACAAGCGCGAGAGGCTGAAGGATATAAATCCAAGCTCATCCTCTCGGTGGCTTCCCATTGGCGGCGAAGAGAGCGGAGCTGCGCTCTTATTGGCGGATACTGCGATCCCTGATTTGCATAGTAGCTCGCGTCGTCCATATTCGGTCTCGGCTAGGAACTAGGACGGCAGCGGACCCGAAGACCTGGATGCGTGCGAAGTGATTAGGTATATTAACGTGCAGTAGCAGCAGCCTTGGGAGACGCGAGGCCTTCGGCACCGAGGGACAAAAGGAGGGGCGAGCAGAGAAGCGCTCTCTTGCTTGCTCCTTCTACTTAGCGGCCGATCTGCCTCAGAGCTTTAGAGTGAGCAAGAGACGGCCAAGCCGGGTATTCTTCAGTCCTCCTTCGAATTCATTTTTCCGGATTACTTTGTTTCTGGCTCCCCAGCTCGTGGCAAGTGCAAATGGATGAGTAGGATCAGTACTGCCCGATCGCCCTGTAAGGTACACGGTCATGAAAGGTCAGTGTAAAGAAATACCAGCTTTGTCACGAAACTTGGTGGGCTGATAAGAGCGTGTTAGGTTGGTATTCCAGCTTGCATTTATTTGTCCAATATCTAAACATCCTTTTTGTGGACGATTCAGTTTTAGTTTTCCTTCTGGAAACCTAATTTCGTAATAGCTATGGCTTGGATACTTGCCATGGATAATTGCTCAACCCAGAAGCAGGGAGATGAACTTCAAGCAAAATTCTGCTGAACTATTGTTAAAATGTCAGGAGGCTCTTGAATGTGGAGTGACACTACCTAGCAGCATTTTAAATAATACTTTTACACCTGCACTTTTGAAAATAATGGATCAGCAATAAGCAGCATACTGTCCACTCAAGGTTTTTGAAGAAATATAAAATGCTTTGTTATTTTCTTGCCTATAACTATATTTGTGTTATGGGGAGAAGCAAATGGGAAATAAATACTGTATATCCATGTGGAATGTGTGCATTTGTAGAGATTAGTTCCTAATATTTCCCAACTTTCCCTATATATAGACAAGCAGCCACAATTTACACACATTATTTTTGAAAATCTTCCTTGGCTAAAGGCAAACAAAGAGCACAGCAAATCCGTGGACAAATTATAGACTTTTATCAGGATTCCAAAAATTGTTCCACTAATGGTTTCTACTAGACTGCAGGAACATTTTGCAGAAATTGAGTGTAAACAAAGTCTTTTCCCCTAAGCAAGTGGCAATTTGCCTTTTACAAAGTTTTTGAGACAATGGTGTGTCTTATAAGCCTCAGTCTTTTGCAGGTCTCTTTCTGAAAATTAAATATGGGCCACCATCTCTTCCTTGCAAAACCCCCAAAGCTTACCAAGTATGTTTCCAAACTCAGGGGTTAAAAGGGCTTTTTGAGGGGAGGGCAGTGGGGGCCCATCTAAAGTACTGATTGGTAGTTGAAATGATCAGGTGGGCTGTTTTCCATTCAAACCAGTAAAACTTAATATATTAAACATTCACATTAAAATTTCAGGATTTGGGGTTTCCTTGCATGTTCCTGCTCAATGGGACAAAAAACCCCAAAACAAACAGAAACCAGTTATGTTGACATAGAGTGAAGGGAAATAAAGAAGATTGTGGAGAGAGCGCACAAGGACAAAATAACGAGGCTTACATGCCTCCAGTATCTGACAAAGAATGGTGAAGCGAAGGTTTTCTTCAGGTTGAGCGAAGGTCCTGCTGACTTTATGAACAATCACAGTGCTGCCACCAGAAGTCAACTGCAATTTCAGATCAGGGAATGGATCCAAAGGACCAGAGAGAAGGCAAAGAGAATGGAAATTTGCTGTTCCTTATTCAGTTCCTCAATCAGATAACTAGGCAAACCTTCCTTGGCTTTAAAAAGTCTGTATCTACAGTTGAAACAAAGCAGTAAGGGGAGGGTGGGGGGTTTTTTTGTTTTTTGTTTGCCAAAAAGATTTAGAAGGTAAACAGTCTCAGGCTGAGATTTGGAGATTTTTCAGAGTTCCAGGATCTAGGATAATGCTGCTAAGGAGAACAGAAGGAATTGCGTTTAAAAAGGCAGCTTTGAACATGGAGATAGAATCAGAAAAATCGAACGTTACTCATTCCTTCCCATCAAATCTACAGACTCAAAAAAATGCAGAAGAATACTATGCTGGTATCTTTCAAAACTACAGAAGAGAGTTTTCATTTGCCCTTAACTAATCAGAAATCAAAAGGTCATTATAATGTTAAAAAAAACTGGGATCCTAGCTTGCTGCACTTTTTCCAAGTTTGGATTATAAAGCAGTTGTTTCTGGTTTATGAATACTTGCTTATAAAGAGTGGTCAGTGGCATGCCTGTCATCCCTTCAGCAATATGATTCCAGTGTGGAAGCACTTCACGTGGGGTGGGGACCCTGGCTGAAGTGAGGAAGTCCTGCTTCAGCCTTCAAATTTATGTTGGAAATGTGAACAGGAGGGGACATTTTATCATGCTTGGTGACATGCAAAAAAGACAGAAAGTTATGGATTCATATACATATACTAGTTCAGAAGATTTTAAAGATTAATATACAGTTGACACCAGAGGTCTTTCTTTTGGGATTGATCGATAAACAGTTGGAAAGAAGGTCCCCACTCACCCTGCAGATCAAGTTCTGACAGACCAGATGGCTAAACCCAATGCTCTAATCATATCTCAAAATGCACCTCCTCCCCCAGCCTCAGTCACCATTAGAGAAAGTGATTGGTGGATGTTTTTTCCACTAGCAGGAGATTCACTAATCATTGTCCCTTAATTTGCCCTGCAATGAGCTGTTAGCACAGCTCTATTTATTGGTCTCATTAGCACTTAGACAGAGCAAAATTATAGTGGCATATTTTATGCTTCTTCACAGACTTGAGGGCAGCATGTTAAACTACTATCTGATATGTCCTATAGCTGCTTGTACATGTAATATAATCTATGTTGACTCTATCCTGCTCACATGGATTGTTGGCTGGAGATCAGCCATTGCCTTAGGTTACCAACATTTGGGTGGGTGGCCCTCTTAGAAGTTAAGGGATTAGATGTAGCCAAGCTAAGTTGAGGTGAAGATGGGCTCCTGATGGAGAGGCAAGTTATAGGAAGGAATCAGACCTGTCTCCATGTTAGATGGATTGCCTCAATCCATCAATATGGCATTAAGTCCACACTATTGATATATTTTGTAACCTGTTTTCTTCTCAGGACACTAGGCTTAGAAAATATTCCTGTGACATTTAATAATGAAGGCACTAAAGTACTTGTTCCTTTAACTTGATACCTAGAAAATTAGCTCAGCAATTTGTGATTTTTCGAGCAAGGTGAAGAGATTCAGAACAAGATGTCTGAATTATTACTATTCCATCTTGGAATACAGATGAATAGGGTGTCTTCTCCACTAAATCTATCTGGTTTTTACTAAGTTAATTGTGTTTATGCTTCCCAAGATGCACTGGGCTAAGATGGATTGCTCAGTGTGCCTCCAACTTGTTCTCACTTTCATCTTCCAACATCTTGATGGAAGAGATGCTACATACTACAGAAAAGCTTTGCAAGCCTGCCCTGTGCAGAAACAATGGCAACAGAGCTCTTTTTACTGTACCCACTGCTACAGGATTTCAGATGGGCCTTGATCCACTCATTGTTTGATACAATTCATTTTGAGAACTTTTTTGCTGCTGCTCATTTAGCTCCCTTATAAATCAAACACATATACCTTATAAAAACTATCAAAAAGAAACTTATTTTAAGCCAACTGCTCCAGTTTTAACAGATATACATGAGCTTTTATCCATTTAGGAAAAAAAGATATGGAGCAAAAGCTTGCTGGAATGTTAGGCCTTTATATTGATAAGTGAGTGTTTTTGTAATTGAAGAAAAGCCTTTATGAAGTTTTGACGATTGAGACGTAAGTACAAGTAGTCCTTGCTTAGTGACCACAATTGGGACCAGCAACGCAGTCACTAATGACACAGTCGCTAAGCGGAAAATCATGTGACCACAACTGGGTTTACAATCTTACTTTCCCTTCAGTTGTAAGCGAAAAATCACGTGACTGTGACTTATGATTTTACCTCCGCCTTCTGTATTAATTCTGCTTGTTGCAAGCCAGCTGTAAAGTATGTGAATGGTGATCACGTGACTGTGGGACACTGCAATGGTCGTAAATGCAAGGATTGGTTGTAAGTTATTTTGTTAGCACTGTCGTAAGTTTGAACGGTTGCCGCATGAGGCAGTTGGCAAGCGAGGACTATCTTTTCCTGTTTTTTTACAGAAGGCAAACAGAAAAGAAGCATTCATATGATGAGATATACTAAAATATAGTAATGAGAAGAGCTTGGGAAGTAGGAAATGTCTTCAGCCAAATCAGTGGTAAAATTGGGGAAGAGATGAGAGCAAGAATATTATACTAATAATAACAACAACAACAGTAATAATTGCACACTAAAGGCACAATCTCCAATTTCAGTCGAATCAGAAACCTTTCTACCAATCCATAAATAGAAAGGCTGCAATGAATCAGTCAACATCTGACAAAGAAGAAACAGTGCAATTCTGGGCGCAGCTATGGGACAACCCAAAGAAATACATCAAGAATGCAGTTTGGATAAAGGAGATGGATAAGAATAAAAAAGAAGCTGAAATGAAAGAACTTGTAAAAACAGCAGAAATGGTGGAGGAAAGGGCAAGGAAGATCAAGAATTGGTCAGCACCAGGTGAAGATGAACTGCATGGTTTTT